AGCACACATCACACTCCTTCCCCCCTTTAAAGCAGTCGTTCTTGCGGTGGTTCATACTCGCCGTGCCACATTCTTCGTTTCTGCAGTCTGCGCTACGCTCTCCGTCAAAATGTCGAGTCTGTGGCGCGCTGACCTCTACAGCTCCGTCGACCTGCCGGGGCAACAACATCCGAACCTGGGACGCCTAACACCCGTGCTCAACCGGCCTGCTGAGCCATCTACATCCGATGTCCACCCAGCAGCCGCACCTCCCCTCTCCCTCGACAGCACCTGACACAGCCAACGCCGCCTTACTAGAACACTCCACTCGACGCCACCTCTCTACAATGAACTGCCCCAACTAGCACTTCTGCCCCAGGCCCACAGCAGCGTCCGCAGAACAGCGCCCTTCCCCTCTCCTGATTGGAAGCAATACCAAATGTAGTGAAGGAGAACACAGGTGTGAATGACCGAATTGTATTTAGCACAACATTACTTGGTAAAATAGAAAAACCATGCTATAATATTTTATTTGCAAAATGTTCAATAATTGTCTCGAAATTCATTGTTCTTAACTTTCTTTACTAATTGCTTTCTATTCCCGTTTTTCCTTTCTTGATCTTCCCAATCTTCTGCTGCCAGACATTACATTCCTGACTCGCGCTATATACTACTTATGTCAATATAAGTAGCACGCATCACAATAGTTCTGGAATTTCGTTAGATTTATAGTACTTCTTGTTCGTCTTTTTATTAGTCAATGTGGTTACCTTGATAAGAATAAAAATACTGCTTAAAACTTTGTGTGATTTAACTTCTTACAAAAGAATTTTTAAACTAATTCCTACTCTGTCGATTTCTTGTCCGTTGAAACCATGTAAGTTATTTGGCTTAGAAAAATTTGTTTCTAATATAGAAACTGACACCGCCGTTATTATAGAATTAACAATAAATACAATCTATTGAAATGGAAAAAGGAGGGACTAAAGTGACCTGACATGACAGTAATCAGTGAATACATAAAGTGAGTCAATTCAACTTAGTATCAATGACAAAATATACACACAAGTTTGCGTGACCGGCAAAATAAACAGATTATAGTCACATCAAGATCAAAGCAAATCAAAGTATTGGGCAATTAGTAATATTATTGATTGATTAGTTTATCGATTACACTTATAGATTTAACATATCAGTCTATGATAAAGACTTCTGTTTAACAACAGAATTTATTTTCATACATAGTAGTCAAATAAGTAATCAATTTTACATTTGTTCCATAAGGTATTAGTGATCGAAATAAGAGGTAGAAGTATGAATTCATTTTTGTATTGGTTGTTTGAATCTTCTCATAGCTGTTTAAGACTGCAATTGATAACGCTATGTCGTTTGAAGTGAAAGTTATTGCGTTCCAATCACAGAGTGAACATCAACTCTGGAATGTAAGTATATCCAGCTGATGAGTCTTAAATAAGACGCAGTGGACGTCTAAGATTCCACCGCCAATCATCATCTATCTAGGCTTATAAAACGTAGGAGAGTTTGAAGAGAGATGCCATTTAATTTGTGAGTAGTACTACTTACCCACAAAATTCATTTCAATCTTAGAGTGAATAGCAATAGGATATGCATACTATTACTCGGTGATCATCCGACTTGAAATTGCCATTATCCAAAATGAACTTTAAACAATGTCAATGAAGGTTTATATGATACAAGAAGAAAGAAAAGATAAAAACTGATTGTGGATAGAGAAGTTTATTCTTTCACAATTGATCGATCACTGGGTGGTGATCAATATTATGCTTGTCTAATCCTTATTAGTGCAGATCGACCAAGTTCCAATGTGGCCACTAGTTTAGGTGACTCAACATTGCGTGCACTATTTTGAAAATAGATGGTGGTTGGAGGTAGTCAACAAGAAACCCTGGACCCGGGTTTCGTGCTACTTGGCACTCTTCAGCAAGGTGTGCCTGTAATCTTGAGGGAACTAGTGCTCCCTAACGGATTCGACCCCGTGTCACCCAACTTCACAGTCAGAGACGGTACCACTCAGCTAACTGGGCGGTGGCCAACCTCCTGTAGGACCGAGATGTAATCACAATTGATCACTGGGAGTACCAGTTCCCTCAAAATTACAGGCACACCCTGCTGACGAGTGCCAAGTAGCATGAAACTAGGGTCCAGGGTTTCCTGTCGACTACCTCCAACCATCATGACGAAAGTCTTCAACCAAATACAGTGTCTTATACATGAACTTCATTGTTATGAGTATTCAACAATAAGACACAGCAGAGGTAGATAGAAAACAATGTGAATGTTGCTCTGTATCAATACAAATGAATACTACACACATATATATTACTATATGTTATACTGAATAGGTATTACACTAAATCAATGCATAATGTCAGGTTTGATTCCTTTTTGTTTAGTAAATTATGAATGTGAAATATATATTTTTATGAGTCTATTATTCCTCTCAGGTGAGGATTGGAAAAGCAAGGGCCGCATTCCTACAATTGAAGAACACATGGAACTCAAAACAACTTTCAACCAATATCAAAGTCACAATCTTCAATACAAACGTCAAGGCAGTTCTACTGTACGGAGCTGAAACGTGGAGAACTACCACAACCATCATCAAGAAGGTACAAGTATTCTTAAATAGTTGTCTAAGCAAGATATTCAACAGCCATTGCCAGGATACTATCAGCAACAGCCTACTGTGAAAGAGAATAAATCAACTTCCAGATGAAGGTGAAATTAAGAAAAGACGGTGGAAGTGGATAGGACATTCATTATGGAAATCATCAAGCTGCATCACGAGGCAAGCCCTAACTTGAAATCCTGAAGGGATGCGGAAAAGAGGAAGGCCAAAGAACACATTACGTCGAGAAATGGGAGCAGATACGAAAAAGATGAATAACAACTGGAAAGGATTGCTCATGACAGAGTTAGATCGAGATTGGTGGTGGACGGGTGGGTAATAAGAGTAAGGAAGTTAGTAACTTCAAAATCAATTCTTTGATCAGTTTTTCTCAACATTTTTTTTTCCAATGTTTATGGTCAACTTTTTGAACTTACCGACAAATTTCATCGACTTCAATACAATACCTTTAACATATTAAAGTACAAGAATATGTATTTTAATATCATTTACATGCATCTATTAATTGGTACAAGGGTTGTTTATTATGAAATCAATTTGATCAAATGTAAACGAGGCTAAAGTTTATACAAGACAGTACTGGATGATCGATAATTCATACTCATATAGAATAGACTATGTAGTATACAAATATAAATAAGTTGATTCAATTATACTAATTGACTAGATATTAAACTACATTGTCATTCATTACAGAAGGTTTGTAATAAGAAGCATTTTGTAGCATATTAAGGAAGTTTCTTCTTTTTTAACTATGGTTTTTATGATATAACGGGATTACTTACTTACTTAGTTACCTACACCTGTTACTCCTAGTGGAGTATAGGCCACCGAGCAACATTTTCCAACTGAATCTGTTCTGGGCTTTCCTTTCTAGTTCTATCCAATTGTTGTTTAATCTTCTCATATCTATCTCCATTTCTCGATGTAATGTGATGATGTAACAGGATAGAACAACAAAATGATGTTGATAACTCATTGTTAATTCTGTTCAAGATTACCTCTATTTTTTTCTTCTTAATAGTAATTCCATATAGTTTCCTTATGTGTGATAGTTGTTAACTAATCGTCAATTGCGAGTAAAATCAATGATATAAATGTATTCCTATAGTACTTCGATTTATTTCCATGGTCAAGTAAATCCATTTTTATCAGTTTTTGTGTTCACTTCACAAGTTGTCGACTTCGAGGCTTCAGCACTGAATATAAGTCAACTAAACATTTCATGGACATAACGATCTATCTCTCTATTTTATAAACGAAGTATAAAACATTGAAATTGTATTTATGTAAGTTCACATATAGTCAGTTAATGTTTGAAATCAGAAGGGTTGTTTTTGTGGATACTATAGTAATTTTAATAGTTGAGATCATGACCCAATTGAAGCTAGACCACCATGGAAAACCTGGAAGCACTAGATGAACGTTTTTCGTCCTATCGTGGGACTCCTCAGCAATGCACATCCATGATCTCACCTCGCGAGATAAGAACCCAGGATCTATCGATCTCGTTAGCGTACGCCTAACCTCTAGACTACTGAGCTGGCCGGCATCCAACGGTATTAATGTCTAACTTCAACTAATCCATGAAATTAAACGACACATCCACTATTGTCTTCAATGAGTTATTATTATTATTATTGTTATTATTATTATCATATTATTTAAACACATAAACATTGGTACAATAGGGCACCAAATAGATATACGCCACATAAACCACTCGATTTGTGTGAGGGTTACAATACTTCCCGCATGCCAAAACCGAAGCAGTGGTTTTCCTAGGGAACCACACCCAAAGCCTTTGACCTAAAGGTCTAATCCACAAGTCAATGGAGCAACGCCACGAGATGCATTCTCATGGTAGCAGGTGACCAACAATAGGTTCATACGCTATTTGTTCCTTCAGGATCCTGAAGCCCATGTGCACCATTAGTTTAAAATCAGGGTTTTCCACTTTCCCTTAGGTGGGCTCTCTGTATCCACCGACGTGGGTAAACCGCTGGACGTTCGCTTTTCGTCTTCTCAGTTTCGTAAACAGCAGTAATGCCGTGAGAAGGCAGTTAGTAGGACTTCCCTGGTAGTGGTTGTATACACGTAGCCATGTGAGAGCATTTTGAGAGGGAGAACTGACTCTCCTCACCTTCGGCCGTACCAAAGCATTTGAGGGCAGTAAGTTATTATCTCACAACAGACCCAGATGAACTTCACTGGTCAGTGTTTAGTCTGAAAAGTAGCTTAGCGAAGTAAGTCAAAAATGTGATATTTTTATCTTAAACTTTTATTATTAAAGAGATTTAGTTACATTCTCTTCATTTCAGATTTACTTACGTCACCTACATTGACAAAAATGTACGAAAAGTGTTCAATTATCAAGTATTACAATAATGTTCTATAACATAATATTCTATTTTACAGTGAATTTATTAAATGCAAATCAAAATTACAATTTAAAGGTGCATTCATATTGATGTGAGTATTATTATTCAGTTGTAAGGTAATGTATTGCTTGATTATCTAAAAAATAGAATATTATAAGCAAAGATAGATGGTGGTTAGAAGTGGAATCCTGAACGCACGTTTCGTCCTGTTTAGGACTCGTCAGTTGGATGTATCTGCTTCTCAGGGTTGGTGTTCACTCAGAGACTCAACTCTGAGATGCAAGTACATATAGCCGAGAAGTCCCAAATAGGAAGAAACGCACGTCTTGGATTCCACTACTATTCACTATCCATATTTGCTCATAAAGCTTGTTACTCAAAGCAATCCTCACAGGATGCATATAGGTTAATAAGAGACTGATCAATTACAGTCCTAAACAGCAATGGGAAGATAAAAGCAAACAATACCAAGTGATTTATATAAAACACAAACCAATGCATTAGTTGATGAGCATAAATCCGTTGTTCATATAAAATATGTAATAGGCTAATGAAATTTAAACAATAAGCAATAATAATATGTAGTTTTCCGGATTTCGGTCCATTTTTTTATATGAGATCCATGTTGAGTAATTTCATATTTATTTACTTACGCCTGTTATACATCGCGAAGGAACAGAGACCGCCCACCAACACTCTCTATTGAACTCTGACCCGGACGATTCTTACAAGTTGTCTCCAGTTGATATCCGTTCTTTTCATGCCCACCCCCTATTTCAGACACATTGTGTTCTTCCGTCGTACTCTTTCCTGTTTCTCTTCATAATTCCGAGTTAGGGCTTGCCTCGTGATGCAGTTTGGTGATTTCCGTAATGTATGTTCTATCCACCTCCATTGTCATTTCCTAATATCTTCTACAACTGGAATTTGGTTTGTTCTTGCTCATGGAATCCGAGTAATTTCAAAACTTAACAAATGATAGTTCGTTATATTTATAAGCAATTAGTAGACGAATATCATTGAAGCCAACCTTTATTATAAAATGAATGAACTGTCGTATATGTATTATGGTATTCTTCAACAGTGTTCACTTATAACCATACCATAAATTGAGTCGAAGATCATAAGCTCTTAATATTTAGATTATTTAATGTGTTTTAACAAAGAGTATCATACTCGGATAAAACAGTAATCTAATTCTCTTGAGTTTTATCTTTATAGAATCTCTTGAATAGAATCCAATTTCAAAGTATACTAACCTTGATAAAAACACTCAATGAACATTTTATCAGCAAAACAATAGTATATCGTTACATATTTAGATATTTAATGTATAAAGTGACCAATCAATACCTAAATAAGTGAGCGGCTCGGATAGCTTAGTGGATGACACGGGATCGAATCCGTCAGGAAGTATCAATCTCCTGAAGATTACAGGTACACCTTGATAACGAGTGCCCAGTAGCATGTAAGCTAGGTCCAGGATCTCTTGTAAAAAGGCATCCAAATGCCCTGCTACGGCCTAGAGTGTGGAGAGTCAGCTCTCCCTCTCCAAATGCTCTCATATGGCCAAGTGCATATACTCATTGACTTCTCGCGGTGAAGGTGTTGTTTACAAAACTAAGAGAACGAAAAGCGAATGTCTGGCGCTTGAACCGGCTTGGTGGACACGAAGGATCCATCTAGAGAGGTTGAAAAATCTTCATCCCAAACTGATGGTGTGCATGGGCTGGTTTCAGGACCCTGAAGAAATGAATTTTGCATAAACCTATTGTTGGCTAACGGCTACTATGAGACTGCATCGCTTAATATTACTCCACTGCCTTGTGGATCAAACTCTTAGGTCAAAGGCGCCAGATATAGCTCCCGTAAGTAAACCACCTGCTTCTGTTTGAGAACCGGGGCAGTATAACAACCCACACACAAATCAAGTAACTTGTATGATGCATATCTTTTCGGTGCCCCTTTCGTCTCAATATTTATGTGTTTCAATAAATGAATAAATAGACCTTTCTGAAAAGTTGTTCATTATTGGAATCTTTTTCTAAAAAACTATAACAGGTTACTTTTGTAACCTAGTCATTAATGATGTAATGTATAGTATCCAATTCACTTTTGTTCTATATGTTTATTTCATATTCTAGAATTGTTGGTTTAATATTGGGGTTTGTTATATTCATGATTAGAAAATTACATCGTCCAACATTGATCAACACTATCATAGCTGGTATAACAGTGAGTTTACAAACACAAGAGAATAATGATTGTTCATTCATTTTCTTCTTTCACTTTTATTGGTTGTTTTAATTGCCTCATTGATGATATTATGAACTGTAATTGGCGAGACTATAATTTGTAGACGAACCAATCAGATTTGAGATAACAAATCTTGGATTTTGGCGCGAAATTCATTCATTCATTCATTCGAATTAATAGTTTTGGCATTATAACTGATGTCAGTTCATGATGAAAACGCTGAATCTAATTTCTAACATTAACGACCAACTGTAAATCATAATTGTAATTCCTCACACACACAGGCTTATAATCCTCATTTGATTCTGGTTATCAGGTAGACACTCTCAAGACCACTTTAGCATTACTCAAAGGTCGTCCATAAATTATAGTCTCACCGATCATTCTCTTTTGGTAATATATAGATCTTATGCGTTTAACCTCGATATCACCATTAGTTCATTTGGATTTTCAGAGAAAATGAAATGAAATTTATGTTATTGCATGAAGAAGCGGTTATTTAGATTCATTAGTTAAGTCGTAAAGGTGTAACAAAAAGTACTCAGTTCGAGTCCCGTCGAGAATATTAACACAGGTGTAGATTTATTCAGATGACTAATTCCGAATAGAATGAAATGTGCATCCTATATTTCATTGTTAGTTACCACCATCCAATTCAGATTAAAACTAATCATCATTCACATGATCATTATTTGTATTTTATAAAATGAATATCCTATTCAGTATGATCGATTGAATTTGTAACAATCAATTAGTGTACAGTTCTCATTAATCAAATTATGTTGATTACAGTCAATCGATTAATTGATTACTGTATATTACAGTTTCTAATAGGTTTTATCATACGATAAGGCTATATCGAGACAATCCGCATAGGATGCACATATGCCATCATGAAACTGATCAATGATAGTCCTAAATAACAATGGGAAGATACAAGTAAAAAAAAAACAACACCAAGCAAATTTACACTTCAACCCATTGCACAAGCAGATGACTATCACAACTCACTAGCTAAGTGGATAATGCGATGGAGTTTGAAGCGAGCTGTATTGGGTTCGTGTCCCACTATTCATCTTTGCTTAAAAAGCGTGTGACTTAAGGCTATATCAAGGCGATCCGCATAGGATGCACATATGCCATCATGAAACTGATCAATGATAGTCCTCAATAACAATGGGAAGATACAAGTAAAAAAAACAACACCAAGTGAATTTAAATATGACTTCTGTTTGTGATAATGTTGGTTACTTCTAATTCTAATGAAGTATAGATTTTCTTCTGATTTTATATTATAACATGTATAGTTCTTTGTGTTGGATGAATAGGAACTTCAGTGAACAAGAATATATATAGCATGAACATATATATAGATAGATAGATATACTTCAGTAGTTGACATCATGAGTCATTTGAAGCTAGACCACTATGGAGAACCTGAAATAACCGGATAGCATCATTTCGATCACTTAGGCTATTTATATAAAAATGTATTGCTTTCCTATTAATCAATTTCTTATATAATTTCATTTTAGGCAAATCTATTATCGTTTGGTGTTGCTTTATTTTGTGGCTTCTTTGAATTTAAATACGTTGTCATGGATGCCATTGTATCATTTGTATTAGGTATCATTACCATCTTATTAAGTATGAAGATAACATCATTCCAAAGAAGATAGAAGATTATCTTATTTATCATAATATGTGGATTACTAGTTATAGGATTCCTTTCTATTGTATTATCTTATTTCTATGTAAGTTAATGTTTAATGTATCTATTTCAAATGATATTTAAATTAATACCAGATGGGTTTTGTGGATATTAGAGTAATTTCAATGGTTAAGATCATGAGCCAGGTATATCGTGCAGTTCTAGTGAGAAGTAGTGATCAGTGGAGTTCAACCAAGTTTGTTGAGAGATTGTAACTCACTGAAGACAATGGTGGATGTATCGCTCGATTTCGTGGATTAGTTGAAGTCAGACATTAAAACCTTTGGATGCCGGCTAGCTCAGTAGTCTAGTGGTTAAGTGCTAGCGCACGAAACCAGTAGGTCCTGGATTTGAATCTCGCGGGGCGCGGGGTCGTAAATGCGCACTGCTGAGGGTCTCACGATAGGACGAAACGACCGTTCACTACTTCCAAGTTTTCCATGGTGGTCTAGTTTCAACTGACTCAAGATCTTAACCATAGTTATTTAAATTGTTTCTTTAGTCAGCGATATGTGAGATAGGAATATCTAGTAGTACGAATACTAATAGCATATTCACTATCCACACAATGATTATTATTTATCTGGAAACTCTGAGTTGGATAGTTTGGTCGTGAAGCGTTCATCGTTCTTTTGAATGAAATCATCAGTGTAAACTTCAGATAGTAGTGAAGTGTTCGACTTTTTCCACATATGGTTCACAGCTTGTCTTTTAGATCTCGATGTTGATTCTTTCTTGTTAACCTTGAACCTATCATTATTTACTTCATTGTTTCGGTTATCTCCCATTGATCAACAAGAACCAATCAACATAGAGGTGTACAGGACAAGTTGTGAATCACATGTGAAGAAATTCGTACACTTCATTTCTACCTGAAGTTTGTGCTGATGATTTCGTTCAAAAGAATGATGAAAGCTCCATAAATAAATCATCTAGCTCAGAGAATAAAACTTTATGAAAATCATCCACCTGAGCTACAAATCTTCTCCACTATCTCAAAATCTTGGAAACGTTTTATTTCAGCTTCATTCTACAGTGATATCTGGTGACTTATTGTATTTTTGAAGACTTTCGACATCATTATCATTATTACGATTATTGTCTTACAAAAAGTTGTTTATACTCTAACGATAATTGACCAACAATTGACAAACATTAAATGCTGTGCTATCAGAACAGTCAAATCACTTAAGTTATACGGACTATCAGTTATGTTTCTTAAACATAATAAAGGAAACAAAACTTTTATATGGAAGAATTCCGATAGAAATACGACTAAAGTGTTCTCAATTCTGTTAAGATTATGATTAATTGACCACAAGTCGGATACGTTTTTATCCATAGAAACTAATGCATCAAAGACGTCCGTAAAATTCATTTCATTCTAATGTTCCATTGATCGAAATATAAATACCAACACTTACTTACTTACGGCTGTTACTCCCAATGGAGTATAGGCCAATGACCAGCATTCTTCAACTCACTCTGTCTTGCAAATTATCTTTCTAGTTCTATTCAATTGTTGTTCACTCTTCTCATATCTGTCTTCATTTCACGGCGTAATTTGTTCTTTGATCTTTCTCTTTTACTTTGGCCTTGAGGATTCCAATTGAGGGATTACCTTGCGACGTAGTTGGGTGTTTTCCTAAATGCATTTCCTATTTACTTCCAGTGCTTCTCCCTGATTTTTTCCTCCGCTGGAATCTGGTTTGTTCTCTTACGCAATAGGTTGCTGCTGATAGTGTCTGGCCAACGAATCCAACTGGAGCCCCTTTGGGGCTATTGCCGGTCCCAAGCCCGGATGAAGGAGGGGGGTGGGCATCGGGCAAGCGACCCTATAAGGTTGAAAACTAACTGGCTATAAAATGTTAACCAGAAAAAATAAAACACCAACACAGAATCATACATTGCATTCACCTAGTAACTTTACAACTATCTTAAATTATTTCTGTACGACTACAGTGAATTAAATGTTTACACATTGTGAGAAAGGTCCACGGCTGATCTCAAGGAACTTCTAAGAAGTTCAGAAAGAGCCGAGGAACATTCCGGAATCTCGATGTATAGCTTCCCTATTGAACAAATACTAAAACCCCCTGTATGCGGATTGGATGACTATAACGATGATTTCGTTCTTACTAAAAAAAGACTATAAATACCTGATAGTTTTCTATAATATTTGACGATGTTTGAAATAGCATTCCTTTCTTTTATCTTGTGTTTCCTCATTTTCAACTTGGAAAGTTCTAGCATTCGAATGATCATGCTATGCGCGGTATATTAGGAATCTATGCTTTAGATATAACACATATTTTATAAGAATATTGTAGATCATTAAAGTATTGAGTGGTTCTGTTGGGGTGATCCAGAAAATGTTTCGCAAAAGACAAGCAAGGATCAGGAAACACTAAGAAGCGGTTCATCCAATCAGCGTTCACTTGAAGTTTTAGCCTGATGTATCAAGGAAGTGAAACGTCACATGTAGAGGTTCTAATTGGCTGATTGCTACACTGATACTATGTTTAGTAGCATTTCAGAATCTTGGAGCAACCCTAGGACATTTAAAATATTATAAAATTCCTATATCTTCTGTGTTGGAATGAACCTTTGGAGTAATGTACTTCTCAAATATTTTGCGCCTTCTCTCTTGCGTTCAGGTTGCTGTACAGTTCTAGCTTGGGGGGGGGTTACAGAATAGTTTAGGAAACGAAAATAGCGTTCAATTTGCAAGACTTATCAGGTTCAGTAATTCCTTTTGTTTGTAAAGAACAATTAAAAATCTTTGTTTTGTTGTTTTTCATTCACTCTACTATTTCAGTGTATCTTTGAAATTGTATTCAATACATGTTGGATTTGTTTAATTCTACTTGTAAGTTTGATTATGTAATATATGTAATATCAATATTGAACTAAAATGCATCCTGATTCCTTGATAATTTGAAAGAACCTAAGAAGAGAATGATTTGTTGAATAGCATGAATTCATCATATTTCAAGGGTGTTCAACATTTGTAAACGGCATTAAAGTCATATTAGTGATATTTATATACCGTAGTTAACTACTTCTATGAGGTATGGCAACTTGGACCGACAAATATATGTGCCTGGTGGTGGTGTGAGGTAGTCAACAGGAAACTCTGATCCCGGGTTTTGTGCTAGTCGATGTATCTTTAACCTCGAGGAAATTGATACTCCCTGAAGGATTCAATCCCCTGACAGCCAGCTTCACAGTTAGAGACGGTACCAATAAGCTAACCGGGCAGTGACCGACCTCCTGTAGGACTGAGATATAATCACAATTGATTGATCACTGGGTGGTGATCAATGTCATGTGTGTCAAGTCAAGCTGGGTGACACGGGATCGAATCCGTAAGGGAACACCAGTTCCTTCAAGATTAAAGATGCACCTTGCTGACAAGTGCCAAGTAGTGCGAAACCTGGGTCTAGAGTTTCTTGTTGACTACCTCCAACCACCACCTAATCTCAGCATAGTGCACTCACTGTCGAGTCACCTAGACTAGTGGCCACATTGGAACTTAGTCGATAGCATTCGATCTGCACGAATAAGGACTTGACATACATGAGATTGATCACCATTCAGTGATCAATCAATTGTGATATGTACCTAGTCGTTTATTATAGCTGACTGACTGAAAGTTTAGTTGGAAATGATATGAAAAACGAGAAGAAGAACTAACATATTTTACATGGTAGTTAAGATTGATTAGTAGTTATATGTTGAAGATGAACTCATAACAAGAGGAGAAGAAGGTGCAGTTGAAAAGGATAATAAAATGACAGTGAATACAAATAAATCGTCAGTAGATAGGTGGTAATCACAACACTTAGTGGACAGGAATTTAAAGCTAACTTCATGAATGAACATCAGTAGACCTTTTCACCTTCTTACTATGTCAATATGAGGTTTATCACTATTTAGTTTCTGTATTCAAGGATCAGGTCGAAAGCATTTGGTAGTAAGAGGTTTTTCAAAGTGACATAAAAGTGATGTTCCTTGATTGTTAGTATTTAAAACGCCTTTATGATTTCTACGTAGTGTCCACTATCCGTTAAGTGTTTAATGGCTGCACTTCTTATTACTTGACATCTTTTCCAACACAACCTTCTGATAACCTTATAAATCACCATCTTTTAGTCTTTTCTTTGTACTCGCTTTCACAAACTATAAGTCGAATGTTAACAAAAGGATAATATGGATATTCGAATAGTTTCTATTTTGTGATTGGAAAGTATATTGTTCTTAAGTGGTACCACTCACAAGAATACATATTTCATACAATCACAAATTAAATGAAGTTTCTCGTCTACTTTCTCTTCCACCTTTCATTTTGATCAGTAATACCTGATGGAACAAATTTTATCTTGATTATCTATTTAACTACTCAGTATGAAAATCAATGCTGTTGTTCAACAGAAGTCTTTCTCACAGACTGGTGTGTTAGTTTCAGTGCCAGAATCTTCGTTGAAGTCGCCTTTCTAATTGAATTCAATAGTTTATATAACTCCGTAACGTCTAGTTGATAAAGAATACATTATCTGATGAGTTATTTCTAAACAATAAAATGTTTCTCCAATATAAAATGCTTTTACATATCTCTATTCAATGGTACTATTAAATGACCTGGTATGGCCGAGAGTGGAGAGAGTCAGCTCTCTTTTGAAATGCTCTCATATGGTCACGACTATACAGTCACTTCCAGAGAAATCCTACTGACTGAATTCTCGCTGTGGGGGGGTATTATTACGAAATTGAGAGGACGAAATGCGAATGTTCGGCGCTTGATGGATGTGGAGTATCCACCTAGGGGAGTTGGAAAACTCGGATTCCAAACCATGGGCTCCAGTATCCAGAAGTAACGAATGACGTATGAACTAATCGTTGGTCACCGGCTACCATTGAACTGAATCTCCTTACGTTGCTCCACTGCCTTGTGAATCAGACCTTCAGGTCAAAGGCTCCGGGTGTAGGCCCCTAAGAAGGAAAGCCCACGGCAGAGTGAGTTGGGGAATACTAGTCGGCGGCCTATACTCCATTGGGAGTAACAGGCGTAAGTAAGTAAGTAATCCAAAAAGATGACTCTTCTATTATATTTTACTTCAAAAGGTAAGTCATTCCCTTAGTTTTACATTGTTTTAATAAACTATTACATTCTTATTTATTATAGGCAATTGTTTTCACTCCATATTATTTCTACTTAAATAATGAATCAACCGAATATTCATCCTATCTCATTGGTTTTATAAATGTATTTGAAATTATCACATTAAATTTGTTTGCATTAATCACATCATTGGATATTGGACAAACCACATTGAAATGTGATTATGGCGGGAATGAATGATCAATCGAAAGAAGATGATGGCGATGATGGTGGTGATGATGATAATGATCGAGCTTAAATACAAAAGTTTGATTCAATTTCTATTAAACATTTACAATCATTGTAATATGATTATGTCATATTATTGGGATGTATTTTTATTATGATCATGATGAGAAAACAAAAAAGTAACTGAAAAGATGTATTTGTGGTCTTGACAACCAAGTTGTTTTTACTGAATTACAAATTTAATACAACAATTATGCTCAGAAGGGGTTTTGTGGAGATTTTAGAAATTTCACTAGTTGAAATTATGAGTCAATCTCCACGAAACCCTTTCTGATAATAATCATCTGCTCACTAGTGACTGACTTCAAGAGACACTCCTGGAGTTCTAGTGAGAAGCCGTTACCAGTGGAGTTCAACCAGATCTGTTGTGAGATATCAACTCATTGAAGACAATGGTGTACGGTGGCTCAACTTCGTGGATTGGTTAAAGTTAGACATTAATAATGTTAGATGCCAGCCGGCTTAGTGGTCAAGTGGTTAGGCTATCATGAGCGAGGCTGGTAGGCCCTGCGTTCGAGTCCCGCGGGGGATCGTTGGTGCGTGCTTCTGAGGAGTCCCGTACTGGGATGAGACGGCCGTCCGGTGTTTCTAGGCTTTTCATGGTAGTCTAGCTTCCATTCACTCATGTTCTCAACTAGTGAAACACCAATTATGTCTAGCCGTTAATAGTATATCAACTTCAGATAGAGTCATTTCAGGGTTACTGTCTATAGTAAGCTTTGGTAAAGAAGAGTTGTCAGGGTTGGGGTTGTCTAATCCATTTCGCAAAACTGGAACGTTGTTTAAATTTTGATAGCTAATGAATACTAGTCACAAATCAGCTGATAAACTTTGACAGTTTCCATTCTTATTACTAATGAGTAAGCGATATGTTACTCATTCATTTGTTGTTTCACACGTCATAGAAACCTCGTAAATTAATGAATGGTGGGCCCACTACATAAAAAACTTTGAGAGATCCTATACACAACAATTGACACCTTGAAAACTAATACTAAACAGTCAGTCAGTTGACTAGAACCTAGGACCAGGCACTTATATGCATCGGTCCAAGACGCCATACCGCATTAGCACAACAACACGAACACCAAATTCATAGAAATAGTCACTTCAATGATGGTAGTGTATGGAAGAAAGATTGTGCATCACGGTATAGTACAGAAAGAATTCGTTCGTAGAAAGAAAGATATGAAGCGATTTCAATCTCATAGTTTAAAGGAAGACAGAGAGTGTATACACCGACGCCATTGTGATCGATTCTGAGCCATGTCACCAAGAATCTCCAACCATTGGTTATGATTGTCACGCGGACCCCAACCAAGTAGTCTGCATCTACCAACATGACTCAGACTAGAAGTTAGTGACTTCAAGCACTGATGCCACGTTTTGGTTTGGCCGCCACTAACTTTCTTCCAACCGTCTCCAACACTAGTCAGCATTGCGCGTCGTGGTAATCGGTGTTCAGGTATACGTAACACGTAGCCCAACCATCTGATTTGATGAAGATTCACAACTTCAACAACTAACTTACTGTCATTCCCCAATACTGTGCGTCTAACTTCACTATTAGTTACCCGGTGATCCCAGCAGATACAAGCAATATGTCTAAAACATCTGTGATCAAATATTAGTAAGTTACGAGTATCTACTACTTTTAATGACCATGTAAATGTATAGGTCCAAGTTGCCATACTTCATTAGAACAACAAGATGAACGAAAAGCTATAGCTTTTTGAACTTCAATTAGAGTCGGGAGGGGCGTTCTTACTTCAATGTTACATTCAGGCGGTTTGGTAATGTTGGGTAGTTGTAGAGCAGCTGAAGGCCACATGTGTAACACAAGTAGATAACGATTAGATTTATCTGGTATTTTGTTCTCTGTGATATTCCATTGATAAATATTATAATAAAAAGAACGTAGTAATTAGGAAGTCAGTAAATGTTATCTCGAAATGGAAGTGTAATCATAAGATGAATTGAACAGAGAAAATATGACGATTAAGAAAATGTCACAGTTCTCTTAAGCTGAAACAACCCAGTCAAACACTGACTATCCTTATTGATAAGAAGAAAAAGATAACTGAATGATTTGATGTGATAAAGTACTTCATTATCTGAAAGTTCACATTATTCATCAAACCTTCAAGCAATACATCAGAAGATCAATATGAAGATGCAGGTTATCCAATAGAAAGACTAATATCTTGGAAATGTATTACACACTTTATCTATATACTAATGGGATCCAACCTACTAAAATATAAGCAAACTAGTTTATAAAGTATAATGTTTATCAATGCTTAAAGCTTTTTTTGTTACAGTTCTGCGTATAATGAACTGGTATTGTAGTGCGCGCCTCGTATGTGGACAGATATAAGTAGTATGTAGCACCAATTGAAAGTAGAATCGTGAAAAAAACTTCCGGCCACATCGTTGAACCATGGCAGCTGAGGGAACTGATAAATGATCTTTAAAGCTTCACGATCACTAACAATATTGAAGTTCTTTCCGAATAAATATTTATTAGGTCTTTTGACGGCCCAAAACACAGCTAATCCTTCTCACTGAGTTTGTGAATATCCTTGCTTAGCAACAGTAAGTTTGCGTGAAACACAGATAACTGGTCTACCTTCCCACTCCAAAACTCCACCAATACCCACAGGTAATGCATCAATATTAAGAACATAATGTACACTAGGAGATTAAGTTAGAGGAACAGCATCACTTTGAAGAAGCTCTAGAAGACTCCATAAGCATGACTCTATTTCCTCACCCCATTTAAATGAATTGGATGTCAAAATATTAAATAAACTATTAGCACGGCAAGAAAAATTAGGAATAAAACGGGAATAGTATTGAAGAACACCCATTAGTAAGCGTGGTTCAGTAAACATTTCTGGAGACGGTGCATTTGTCGATGAGTGTCGGGTGGAGGTAAGTATCTACCTCAGACAATGGATGAATGTTTGCGTAACGATTCATGAATGGATGGATGTTAGACATTAACAACGTTGGATAACGGTCAGTGGTCTACAGGTTAAGCGTCCCCAAGAGAAACCGGAAGTCCTGGGTTCGATTACCGCGTTTGAGGTCGTAGATGCGCACTGCTAAGGAGTCCTAAGCAAAAACAAAACAGCTGTCTAACACTTGCAGATTTTTGATTATGGTGTAATTTTGATCGACTCATGATCTCAATCAAAAAATTATAAAATTACCAAATTCAATGCCACAAATCTATTTAATAATTCATTATAAACGTAATCAACGTTGTTAGAGAGTGCATCGGCCTCGTGACTTTCGAAGAATTTCGGCTTTCACCATAATGCGTCATAATTCTTCCTTGAATTCCCAGGCCAGAGTTTAAATGATTTAATTTGTTTATTCTAGTCAGCGTTTTTTAAGCAAGGGTGTCTTCTACAGGATGAGATTGCCGACTCCATGCACGACCCTTCTCCTTTACCTGGGTTTGAGACTGGTAGTAACTGTAGAAGAGCTACATGCGAAGTTATTTGTCATACTCTGTCTAAATAAGTATTAAATATACTGTAGAATTTATAATGTTTTTTCACGGTATATTGTAGGTATATTCAGTGATTACTATTATGAATACTTAAACATTGTTGTCTTTTGGGCTATGAATAGATAATTTGCTGATTAAAGCCAGTATTATTTGTGATTAATTAGATTCAGTTGGTGTTGTTTTATATGAATCTTCCTATTGACGTTTAGGACTGCAATTGATAGGTCTCTGATTGGCCTTAAGTCACAAGCATTTTTAAAGCAAAGATGGATAGTAGCTAGCAGTGGAATCCAGGACGCGCGTTTCGTCCTATTTGGGACTCGTCAGCCGGATGTAATTGCATGAGCCTGCTATCAGGACTCAGTAACTAAGTGGATAACACGATGGCATTTGAAGCGAACGGTACTGGGTTCGAGTTTTAATAGATAGTCATTGAATTATTTTTTAAGAAAAAATCAAACTCGCTGATGTGAATAGAGAAACAAAAAAGCCATGACAAACGACGGAAACTATTTATGGGAACGTTCTTTGACTTATATTCACTTGATATTGTTTTACTTGTATTTTCCCATTGATATTTAGGACTGAAATTGATCAGTCTTTGCTTAAAAAGCTTTTGACTTGAGGTTATATCAAGGCAATCTGCACAGGATGCACATGTGCCAATAAGACACTGATCAATTGCAATCATAAATAACAGTGGGAAGATAGAAGTAAAACAACACCAAGTAAGCTTAAACTTCACCCCATTGCACAAGAAGGTGACAATCAAGATTCAGTAGCCAAGTGGATAGTGCGATGGCGTTTAAAGCGAACGGTACTCAGTTGGAGTCCTGGATTGAACATCGACTCTGGGATGCAGGTACATCCAGCTGACTAGTCACAAATAGCGCGGAACACGTGTCCTGGATTACACTGCTAGACATCACGATCCATCTTTGATTAAAAAGTTATTTGACTTAGTTTTGTCCCTATTTTATTCTATAAACCATAAACTTTTGTTTGAGATGTATGATTTACTGACATAACCATCTCTCTTCCAAAGCTATTGTAATATAAACATAATCTTTGATACTCTGTTTTACTACCCTAATGCCCAGTCTTCCACATAATTGTATTGTCCTGATTGTTTTTGTGTTTTGATCATATTAGTCATCGATTTATTCATTTATCTTTTTACGTTATTCAAAAACTGGGAATAAGTTGATTATAAACTATCGTGGAACAGTAGCCAATAAGTCAAATGAAAGCTTATAATAAAATGAATCTGAATCTATACATAATCCAGTTACTTCATGATTATTTAATAAGAATATATGTAATAATAGTCCACAAACAATTCCTGGAAGTTTATCCACGAATTACACTTGACGGCAAAGCTTGGGAAGATGTAAAATCCTTTACATATTTGGGCAGCTTCATTGACGAACATGGTGGATTGGATGCAGATGTGAAGGTGCGCATCGGCAAAGCAAGAGGAGTATATCTACAACTGAAGAACATCTGGAACTCAAAACAATAGTCAACTGCCAACACCAAGGTGAGAATTTTCAATGCAAATGTCGAGACAGTTCTACTGTATGGGGCGGAAACATAGAGAACTACGAAAACCATCATCCACAAGGCACAAGTGTTCATTAAAAGCTGTCTACGCGAAATACTTTGTTGGGGACGATAGATCCCCTAAACTCATATTTCGTAATTTTATCATGTCGATTAACTTATCGATTAAATGTTTAAATATTTGAATGACTGTCTATTGATGATCTTACTGATTAATGTTTAAAAACATTTTACTATGACAATATAGATTGTAAGTATTTGTATAAATGCGCTTGACTTGTGTGCCTGACCTGATTTGACTTGTAATCTTCTGTTTGCCTGTAGAATACAATTCTACGTCTTACCATGACTTCTTGATTGAGTTAGCTGAGTTGGGGACAACGGACCAGAGTAGCCTATCGAGTCTTTGAATCCTGATCCTTCGTTCCGTTCCGAATGAGCCGAATCGGTAGTAGCATTCAAACTTTAAAGAACCTAACATACTTCGGATCCGTTGACCAGACACTATCAACAACAACCTACTATGGAAGAGAATATATCAGATCCCAATGAAGGAAGAAATCAGGAAGAAGTGTTGGAAGTGGATAGGACACACATTGAGGACAGCACTCAACTACATCACAAGACAATCATTCAATTCCAATTGTCAAAGCCAAAGAAGAAGAACAACAACAACAAACACATTACGCAGAGAAACGCAGACAGACAAGAGGAGAATGAATAACGATTGAATAGAACTGGAAAGGGAATGTGCAGGATAGAGTGGGTTGGAGAATGCTGGTCGTCGGCCTACGCTCTATTGGGAGTAACAGGCGTAAGTAATTAAGTACGTAAGTCCATAAACAGTTTATTCTCCTTAGCGTTCTTTTAGCAAGATTATTTTCTATAGGATTGGATTACTGACTCCCATGCTAAACCCTTCTCCTTTTACTTGATCTTGAGACTGACAGTAATCCTAGGACAAGGTTACAGATGAAGTTAATTCCTAGTAGTTATCATACATTAATCCTTCGTTCAAATAGTAACATTCATTAAACCAACTATCGCCATAAAAACTAAACTTCTATATTCTATTACATTCTAATCGTTTAACAAATACAATTGAAAGCATTAATAATAAATACAATAACGTAATCTCATATAGATTTACAAATATGGTAAATGTTATTGTATATTGTACAATCTGCGATTGGGATTTTAATATAATTGGAGTGAATAAAATTCCCTATAATAATCAAAAGAGAAATAATAATGATCTGAAATATCAGCAAAAGAGGGCTTATTTTTGTATGGATATTATGTGATCATTTCAATAGTTGAGATCAATTGAGTCCATTGAAGCCTAGATCATCATCATAAAAAAAACTTCGAAGAACTGGATGACCATTTCGTCCTATTGTGGAACTTCTCAATGGCAGTGCGCGTTCACGATCCTGCTTTGGAATAAACGCTGTAATTTCATTAGATTATTTCCACCATTGAAATCATGAACTGATTAATGTTAAACTGCCAATGAAAATTTGAAAGAACTGAATAGTTATTTCGTTTCAAATATGAAAATCCTTAGATGTGGAGATAAATCGTGCGAGGTAGTTGATCATCGAAAACAATGGAAGATAGCCACGTAATGTCGTGGACTGATTAAAGTTAGACATTATTATCGTTGGATGTCGGTCAGGTGCCTGAAAGTTAAGCGTTCTCAAGAGTGACCGAAAGGTTATGGGTTCGATTGCCACATTTGGTATCTTGGATGCGTACTACTGAGGAGTTCTAAGCAAAAAGAAAACAACCGTCTGACTTCAATGAAGTAGATGTTAAATTTGATGCAGGTAAATGCCAAGAATAGCTATTTGCACAAGATTTGTTTGACGATGTCATGGAGATTCACTAAATAATGACTGTACTGTTATAAATTGTGGCCTAGTGCCCTTTAAATATACATAAAGTAATGATACCGCCAATTAAGGAACATTTATTTATTGACCAGACAAATGACGCATAAAACCCGTACGAGCAGTCTAGATTCTTTATCCGTCCTGCGCCCAGCCTAGACCTGCCTGTTAAATCCAGAACACCAATGTCTACCTCTGCGATATGAATCATTGATTCCAAACATACCGTTGGAATCTATTTCTGGACTAACGGTATACATATATTTTTATTGTATAATTGTTAAGTAACTAAACTATGCATATTCATGTTCCTCTTATCATCAGCTTTATTTTGACCCATAGAATATTATTATACAATCTACCGTTCTTCAGTTAGACACAGTCTATCAAATACAGTCTCCCAAAATCACAGTCACTTTTGGATAAATCTTGTACAAATGTTGTATTCTATATTGTGGTACGATATGGTTTATTTGGCTAGTATATAAACCCAGTATGTTTGAAATAAATGATTCATATTGCAGAGTCTGAGATTGGTGTTCTGGATTGTAATAGGCAGGACTATGCAGGAAGTAGGACCGATAATGACTCTAGACTACTCGTACGAGTTTTATACGTCATTGGTCTGGTCGTTAAATCACTATTCTCTAGTTGGTGGTATCATTACATTATATATAATACGGCACAAGGCTACAAGTCATAACATCTACTCAAAAAACACTTACGATTACCACTACACAACACCAACAAATGCAGGTCATAGATCCGAATTCCCTCTAAAAGTTCAAAATCATTGTAAAACAATATGAATAATCGAAAATCAATATTCAATGTTTATTTTATTATTGGAAAATATGTACTTTCAACATTTTGTTGAATTCCTTCATTCATTTATTTATTTGAACACATAAATATTGGCACAAAGGGGCACGAAATACAAATGCACCAGACAAGTAACTTGATTTTTGTGCGAGTTGTGATACTACCCGGGCGCTGAAACCGAGGCAGATTGTTTTCTTAAGGGGCTACACCCGGAGATTTTGACCTAAAGGTCTAATCCACACGGTAGTGTAGCAACATCAGGAGATGCAGTCCCATGGTAGCCGGTGACCAATGAATGGTTCATATGCTATTTGTTCGTTCAGGATACTGGGATCTATGTGTACCATTGGTTTTGAATCAGGGTTTTCCAACTTTCCTAGGTAGATCTTCCATATATTTGAACCCGGTTTAAGCGCTGGACATTCGATTTTCGCCCTCTCAATTATGTAAACAACACTCTATGAGAGAAGACAGTGAGTAGGACTTTCTTGACAGTGTCTGTATACGCATGACCATGTGAGAGTATTAAGAGAGGGAGAGATGATTCTTCTAACCTTCGGCCGTACCAGGGAATTTGGGGGTCCATTTAATTGATACCGATTACTTTGAAGTGATTAGAAATTATTACACTTGTCTATGCAAACAATTATATACGAGCAATATTGTGCTTTAATAGTTATCCATTAGTTTCACAGATTAAAATTAATTAGGATCATCTTAAAAGTCATGTAAAATACGAAGTTTTGTTCAAGTGATCACTTTCAATGCGATGATATTATTACAAAATCAATAAACTCACTTGGTATTATTGATTTGAATGTTCTCATTGATGTTTAAGACTACAATTGATCAGTCTCTGTTGTTGGTATATATGCATCCTGTGTGTATTGCCTCGATATTGCCTTAATTCACAGGCGTTATAAGCAAAGATGGATAGTGGCTAGCAGTTGAATTCAGTTTGACACGTGTTTCGTCCTATTTGGAACTCATCGACTGGATGTACCTGCTCAGTAGTTAAGTGGATAATGCAATGGTGTTTGAAGCGAACGGTATTGGATTTGATTCTCAGAGTGAACATCAACTATGAGATACAAGTACACCCGGTCGAAGAGTCCTAAATAGGACGAAACGCGCATCCTGGATTCCACTGCTAGCCACTATTCATCTTTACTTATCATTCAATAAACTGTTTATTTACTAGCAGTAGTACATTTATGCATTTGAAAACGTTATTCTTGTCTATTATTTAATGTAAGTCAAGAAGTCGCTCATTTTCTCAATAGCTGTTCTCATGAATGGTAAGATTATAGTTTATGAACGAACCAATCAGATTTGAGATAATAGATTTTGGATTTTAGCGCGAAATTCATTCATCTACACATTTGACTAAATACAGTTTTGGCATTTTAGATAATGCCAGTTTGTTATGAAAACTTTAGATTGAATTCCTATCCCTAATCATTAAATATAAATCATAATCCTTATCGTTCACACGGGTTTAAAACCCTTTCATTTGATCCTGATTACTAAATGGATATTCCTAAGTTTACTAAGGCTCATTACTGCTCGTGAAAGAGCATGGACTGCTCACCAGCATTCTCTACCCAACCCTGTCCTAAGCAATCCTTCCCATTGTTGCTCTGGTTGTTAGGGAGGGAGCATCGGCCTCGTGGCTGCCGAAAGAATTTGACTTTCACCATGAGGCATCATAGTTCTTCTAAATGAAGACCTTCTAACTCCCAGGACTGAGTTTAAATGGTTTGAATTAATTTTTCTGGTTAGCGTTTTATTTTTAGCAATTTAATTTTCTACGGGATGGGCTCACTAACCCTATGCCCAAACCTCCTCCTTTACCCGGGCTTGGGACCGGCAGTAACTCTAGAAGAGCTACAGGAGGAGTTATGTTAGAAACATAGAATAAAGGTATATATATGTACTCACTACAATAAGAAACAAACTTACATAGAATGTTGTTAAAAAAAGAAAAATGATTCCTATTATCCCAAAACGTATTAAAATCATAATTAATGTTTGTTGTTTTAATTGAATCGTTGTATTTATATTAATACTTAATAGAATCGCTATTATGCCCAATATAAATGATACAATTTGAGCAATTAATGCATAGAGAAATTCAATAAAACCTCCAAATAATATAACACCAATTGTGAATAGATATGCCTAAAATGATATAGACAAATAACGAAGATTAATAGAATAAATACAATGTTATGTAATCAATTATAGAACTTTCAATGATTAAGATCATGAGTCAGTTGAAGCTAGACCACCATGAAAAACCTGGAAGTATTGGACGTTTATTTCGTCCTACTTTGGGACTATTCAACAGTATGCACCCACGATCCTGCCTCGCGAGATTCGAACTTAGGGCTTGTAATCTAGCGCACGAACGTTTAACCTACTAGACTATTCAGCTGACTTCCAGTGGTTTTAATGTCTAACTTCAACGAATCCATGAAATTGAGCGACCACAAGGATTAGCTCTACTGGTCATAGCGAGAGAAATCGTGGATGCGTACTGTTGAGGAGTCCTACAAAAAGACGAAACGGCCGTTTATTGCTTCCAGGTTTTCTATGATGATCTAGCTGCAATTGAATCATGATCTCAACCAATAAATCTACATATTTGTTTGAAAATATTCCTGATCAAAGTCTCTAGAAGATTAGATAACATTAGGAAATGTTTTATTCCATCACCATTGAATAGAAACATCTGAGAAACATCTAAAAAAGACTTAAGATTAGATGTTACCTTTTTAATTAGGCAATTGTTCACTTTATTATTATAGTTTTTTCCACATATAGTTCTAGAAGACCAAGGTCACAAGAAAATATATGTACCTCCCACCCCCGTTTTTCTGTACACAATCAACTTTAAAGTAAAGCGCTCATACACATTTCATGTCATTTCCCTTAAGTTTGAGTTGACATCTATAAGAAGTTTTGAGTGATAGGAAACTGTTAGGAAGTTAGTTACAACCATCTTAGTAACAGAATGATTAACATATTACTTAGATACTAATTAATCCAATAATAAAACTTGTTATGTTTTTAATGATCGTATTAGATAACCAACTACATTGTACAAATACAAAATATTGTAAAGATAAACTTACTGTAAAACCAACCACAATAGTACTGATTAAAGATTGATTATGTAACTTGTTGACAAACATGATTACAATTCCAAAAATGACGGAAATACTACTGAAATATAAAATGAACAAGTAGATCAAATGAGATTGATTGTGTTTTATCAACTTCTATGCTAAATATAGATTAGTTGTCATTGAGAACTATGAATAGTGACATTCGTGAGATGTGAGGAGTCTTTGTTCTAATGACAACCTTTCAACATATTTTCCCTCGAGTCATACTGATCGATTTAATGTTCCTTTGTCAATATATGTGTGATATAGTGAATAATAACACATTTTTTCTCATCATCATATAGGGGAACAATATGAAAATTATTAGTCGACTAATCTAAGTCATCGTCCAGAAGATACAAGTGTTAAATAATAGTTGTCTACGAAAAAGACTCCACATCCGTTGATCAGACACGATAAACAACAACCCACTGTAGGAGAGAAGAAATCACATCTTAGTGGAGGAAGAAATCAGGAAGAAGTGGTGGAAGTGGATAGGACACACATTGTGGAGACCACTCAATTAGATCACAAGGAAAGCTTTCAATTGGAATTCTTAATTTTAAAGTCGAAGAGGAACACCAAACAACACATTACACCGAGAAATTGAGAAAAACAAGAAAAGAATGAACGATCGCATAGAACTAGAAAGGAAGGTCAAGGACAGAGTGGGTTGTAGAATGTTGGTCAACGACCTATACTCCGTGGAGGTAACAGGTGTAAGTAATTAGAGTAAGTAATCGAAATTGTAACGAAATTCATTTCATATAGATCACTAACTATATTTCATTATATTGAAATCACCAACCATTCTATGTTAAACAACCATTTAAATAAAACTCTGAAGTATTGGACAGCCATTCAGTTCTAATATGAAATTCGTCAGTGTTGTCCACCCACTACCTCTCATCTGGGAATCGAACCGAGGTCTCTCATCCTCTCACAAGAATGCTCATCGTCCAGATCACTGAACTGGATATGTTAAATGGTCCACGTAAAATATCACTGTTATTCAACTAAAGATTTCCGTATAGTTTTGTCAAATTGAACAGTTAATGTAAACTATTCTAAACAAGCTTTTAATGTTACATAAATGAACAATAAAACATCATAATTAGAAAAAAAGAAACTTACATTAATATGAATGATGTTAGAAAAATTGGATCTTTCCAACATGAAAGATATTCCCTATGAAATTGGATATGAATTTATTGAATGCTGGATCTTACTCTTTATTAGAACAACAAGTATCCCGGTACATGATTCACCATAGAACAGTTAAAATATACAGATCCTGAAATTGAACACATGACTAATGATTATTGAGTTAAAGAAATATTATTGAAATGAATATGGAAATGTTATGAGATGAAAATTGTTATAACTTGTGGCATTGTACCCTATTATAGTATAAGGTAATGATACTGTCAGTAAGAGAACAGTAATTTATCGATCGAACCAATGACTTAAAACTCGTACGAGTAGTCTATAGTCATTATCGGGTCCTACTTCCTGCATAGTCCTGCCTATTACAATCCCGAACACCAATCTCAGACTCTGCAATATGAATCATTTATTTCAAACATACTGGGTTTATATACTAGCCAAATAGACCATATCGTGCCACAATATAAAATACAACATTTGTACAAGACCTATCCAAAAGTGACTGTGATTTTGGGAGACTGTATTTGATAGACTGTGTCTAACTGAAGAACGGTAGATTGTATAATAATATTCTATGGGTCAAAATAAAGCTGATGATAAGAGGAACATGAATATGCATAGTTTAGTTACTTAACAATTATACAATAAAAATATATGTATACTGTTAGTCGATGAATTTATCCCAACAGTTAACATTCACTATTGTCGTAGGGACATAACACTTACCACACGATTCTTTAACCTGTTCGTTTAATGACTGAGAAGATTTAAATTCAATGTGTAACACTCAGAGAAGGTCAAAAATAATGAGCGTCTGGACAGAATCGGTATGGTGTGGCTTAGCCATGTGGGTGAGGTCATTCTATGTAACTTATTCGTACTCACATTAAATATATTATTCTATCCACAGCCCAAATGTGTTCTTCAGATTTGTTAAACATCATATTGATGGTTTTCACGATACGAACATTCAGTAAAGACAATGATGTGCCTTCCTCGAAAGATCTTATAAGTGACATGATTGTCAAAGAAAATGGCAAGTTGTTTTTTTATGTTATTCAGTTCACATGTTCAAATGTTAAATGGGTTAAGACTCTTATTACTGATCGAACTCGCAGGTCCTCAGTGCGATTCCTACGTGCGAGATCGAAATGCGAACTGTTGAGGAGTCCCCTATCAGGACGAAACGGTCGTCCAGTGCTTTTATGTTTTCATTACTGTTCCAACATTGATCCATTCATGATATCAATCTAAACTCAATAATCTCTGCAACTCTATTAGTAAAGAATAAGAAAATAACAAAGCGATATTTAATATAGTTGAATATGACAAAATGATACGCTTCTTATGTGAGTGTGTGTGCGTGTTACTTCTTCTGATTTTATTGGAAGGATGAATTGCCGATACTTGTTCTACTGATAATCGTTACAGATAAAATACATTTAAATATTTTTATAATAATCATAACTACGTTTTTGATTAAGATCATGAATTAATCAATGTTAGATCACCAATGAAAACCTGGAAGTAGTGAACTGTCATCTCGTTTTAATATAGGGCACCTCAATAATGCGCATCCACGATCCTACACGCGAGACTCGAACCCAGGGCCTTCGATCTGGAGCGCGAACGCTCATACTGTAGACCACTAAGCTGACATTCAGTGTTGGTCTAACAATGATCAATTAATGATTTCAACCGAAAACTTAACAATCTCCACAACCTCATACTGATAATTACCATGTATTCACTAGTAACTAGCCTCATGTAGCTCAATTCCTGTCAGGTAGAGACAGTGAAAGATGGTCGCAAAATATCATGATGTGGTTAGAATTAGACAATAACACCACTAGAAGCCGACTCAGTGGTCTTCATGTCAAGCGTTCGCACACAAGACCGGAGGTCCTGGGTTTGAATCAACCGTTTGTGATCATGGATATGCACTGCGTAAAAGAGTTCCATGCCAGAAAGAAACGGCTATTCAGTACAATCAGGTTCATGATCTGTATCAGAAACATAACAATCTCCACAACTCCATACTTCATGTTTTATTTATACAGTGTATATAAGTAATTTATTAAGTAGTATATATATATGACTAATCAAAAAACATGATTATTATACAATCTATAACTTACACTAACCAATATGAATCAATTGACTAGTTATAATTAATACATTCATTCTATAAGATGTTCATAACTATTCTATTTAAACAAATACAATGTCAAATAAACTTTGATCACTTAAACAGTTAAGTAAACAAAACAATCACCGATATCATTATTACTATGATTATTATTATTATTATTATTGTGATGATATGAGTTTTCAGGTTACCATTATACTTTGAAGAGACAGAGAGAGATGAGTTCACTTGTAGTTGAAGCGAAGTGTTCTAAACAGATAAAAGTATTACATACATATTGATGTTAAGCTGACATAGTATCCAAGCTTTATCATTGATAAGAAATCGATAAAGTATTTAATGGCACTCAACATTATGACGTAATCAAATTGAATAGTCTTAATTGTTTTGTTTTTTGTTGTTGTTGCTGTTTATCTTCATATGTTAACAATGAATAGTGTACTATTGCATAAACAGTAGTAGTTTACTAATTCTATTGTCTGATTACATTGATTGAAAGTTATTCATTGAAGTATTTTCTGTACATTTGTATAGAATTAGGCTTAAAGTGAATTATATCAGAATGGGTTTTGTGGAGATTGTAGTAATTTCATGAGTTGAGATCATGAATTAATTAAAGCTAGACCACCATGGAAGACTTGGAAGCATTGGACGGCCGTTTCGTGGGACTCCTCAGCAGTACGCATCCATGATCTCTCCCTCTGTGAGACAATGTAATCAAAGGTTAATATCATCATAGACTATGTTAGTTAGTTGGCTTGAATAACTTAGTACTTTTATGAACATTTATGTACTCTGATTTTACAAGTGTTTATATCATCGAGTTTTTTTAAATTTATATCAAGTAGAGGAAAAGAGAAAGGTCAAACAACATATTACGTCGAGAAATGGAAGCAGGTATGAAAAGAATGAATATAAACTGGAAACAACTGGAAAGGATGACTCAAGACAGTAATGAATGGAGAGTGCTGGTAATTGAAGGCCTGTGCTTCTCAACGAGGAGTAACAGGCGTATGTAAGTGATCTACTGTAGTGAACAAGAACACAAATGGGGACACAATTACAAAATATCTTATTAAAATCTGAGAACTATAGACTAAATACTTAATTTGCAAAATGTCAATCAATTATCGCAAACTTTATTGTTCTTTCGATTCCACACTAATCATTCTCTATTCTTGTCCTCTATTATTCGATCTTCTTAATCTTCTGACACCATACACTTCAATTTTGACTGCTGATATATACTCTTTATATCTTTCAACAACAGTAGCACATATCACACTTCTAATATAATTTCAAATAACGTCATAGATATGTAACAATGTTTAAAAAGTTCGTAGCTATCGGCGAGACTATGATTTATGGACAAGCAAATCAGAAGCGTTTGATGGATTTCAAGGCCAAGGCGCGATTTCAGTACCTGATGTTCATGTACGATCGGTTCAAAGATCATTTTAAAGAAGATGTAATAATCGACCGCTACAACAATTGGGACTACTAAGAAGCCATATAAATGATTTCCTCTACCGTATGCATTACGATTTTATAACCTCTGAACCTTTTTCTAACCTTGACAAGTTTTTGATTCATGTAAAAGTAGTGTATCCAATTTAATTCTTTAATCTTTTTATAATACACATTCACTCTATAGTAACTGTTTCCTGGTCGGCTAATAGTTCTCAAGGTCATTTACAGTTCGTTTGAAGGTTATCCACAAATTATGGTCTCACTGTTCCTGTTTTATCCCAATCAGTAGAAAAATTGTATTACCGAAGTTTTGTAACACAATGTAAGTCACTTCTTCAAAGTACTATTGTACTATTTCAAACTCTTGTTCATTTTAATGTCGGTTAATTATTTACTTCAAAGAAGTGGCTTACATTAAGTCACTAAACTTCAGTAATACAATTTTTCTACCCATTGAGATAATAATAAAAACATACGATCACAATTACCAATCATAACTTGGTCAAGACAATTTGTTTAGATGCCAAAAACAAGGAACAGTAGAAAACATCGAGGATTTTAACTTGGATACCATACGGATAACAACAGTGATGAGAAGTTTGAGGAAGTAACTCAATTTATTAAAGTTATATTCTTACACCATTGCAACCCAGCTCGGTGATCTGGAGGTTGAGCGTTCTTGTAAGAGAATGAGAGTTCTTGGGTACGATTCCCAGATGAGAGGTAGTGGGTGGACAACACTGACGAATTTCATATTAGAACGGAATGGCTGTCCAATACTTCCGAGTTTTATTTAAATAGTTGTTTAACATAGAATGGTTCGTGATTGCAATACAATGAAATACGGTTAGTGATCTATATGAAATGAATTTCGTTACAATTTAGATTACATACTTACTTATTTATTTATTTGGACACATGAATATTGGTACAAGAGAGAGCCAATATATATGCGCCACATAAAACAATGAAAATTCAGGAGGAATACAAAGAAAGAAAGAAAAAGCTAAGGAGCGCAACAAAAAAAAGAGAGAACAATATCGAAGAGATTGGTGTAAGGTAATATGCTAGTAATCAGGGAACCCAAAGGTACAATCGGAAGAAATCTTTCAGGTAAGGGAGACAGAACCACTTTTTATGAAGAAAGTAAAAGAAGGTTACAGCAGGATCGCCATTGGCTTCTATTCTGAGCCATATCTGATAACGTCTCTAGCCACTGTGTAGCACCATCTCTCAGACCCCAACCAGGGAGTCGTGAAGGACCAACACAAGCCAGTCCTTTGCAGCTTTCTTTCATGCCACGACACCATGTCATGCACTGACCACCTCTCTGCTTCTTCCAACCAGTCCCAGAGTCGGCAAATAATGCACGACGTGGAATTCTCTGGGACGACATTCGGAGAACATGTCCAAGCCACCGAAGTCGGTGTTTCAAGATGGTGACACCAATTGCATTATCGTCTCTGTGCCCGAAC